TATTACTATAGGTATTTAGTGAACTACACCATAAAAAATCTTTAACTGAACAAAAACACTAAAAAATAATGAATATGATTTATAGGAAACTGTGACAATGTATATATAGCTCTAAACAAGGAAGTTTAGCAACAATTACCATGGCTATGGAAGTGAAAACACCACTTTCCACTCACTTACATAAAACAAATTTTTAAGACATTCTCATCATTGTTGCCGTCACTTTTCTCGAGCTTCTTAAATTATTTAAGGAGCCTGCAATATTTCCCAGAACCCTCACATAAAGAACAAAAAATAAATTATAACAGGTGAATATAGTATTCTTTTAAATAGCATTCAAATTTGTGATAATCCATATTTTCAATCATGCACAACCAAACTGAACTTGCTTAGATAATGGATGGAAGAATAGGCTGTGATTGCACTCGGTAAAACATGATGTTAAGAGCTTGTGTCATTGACTTCTGAGTACAGCTTGTTACATGCATGCCTACTGTCAAACTCAGAAGACTGTGAATGCCTGAAATATTACAGGAATGTTGATTGGTATTGACTTATCACAGTAAAGATCAGAACATGTAAGCAAACCTCCAAACCACAAGCTAAATAACGATGCTTTTTGGAGTTCAGTTTTCTCTTACCTTTTTAGCTTTTTCCTTTTCAATCTTGTTAATAATTCATGAAGAATACAAAGGAAATTAATGTTTAATGAGTGTTTGGAAACCACACAAAAAACTGCTCATTTTTCATCCTTATTTCTCCTTCTAAAGTTGTTTTGCTTGAGAATTCATATCAAGTATTCAACACATTGTTTCATCACCAGATGAAATACCTCGAAGTTCTTCAAAAACACTCTGCTGCACGTCATATTTTCAAGTCTCTTCTCGGTGTTTCACCTGATGATGAAACACTGCATGTAATGCTTGATATATTACTTCCAACAAAATGATACATAAATATTTTTGGTGTTCACAATTTGTGAATTTCACAGTAAAAAAACACACAAGCAACAAAAAAGGTACTTTGGGGCCATAAACGTGCTAAACTCTGGATATACATGGTTATGTTGGATTATAACTAAGATATGAACTATACAATGATTCAAAACCTACTACCATTGATATCAGCAAGCCCTTACTTGAAAAACACAAGTGGAGCATCACTTCAAAGCAAGGTGCAGAATTGGTGACTCTTTGTCTCTTGTGATTCTCCATAGGAAAAAATGGCTTCAAAATAAAGAGACTTTTGAGACCAACGATAAAAATAGTATGATGTATATGCTATTCCAAAGAAAAAGGGCAGGAAAATAAGTTAAGAAATTCTTGACAAAATTGAGAAGTCAGACAAAGTAAGAGGCCAGTTGAGACATCTTGTCCTTTGGCCGTCCTCTACCCTTGCCTCTTCTGCCACCCCTGCCACGACGCCCACCCCTACCCCTCCCTCCTCGGTACATAGGGTGCTTTGAAGCAGCATGTGACATCTTGACCAGAGGGGAGAGAACTGGATCACAGAATAGACAGCCTTGATGCTGAGTTTTATCCCCAGCCAAAGGTGACTTGGAACGATTGAAATCAACATTCAGAAGAGTTGTTCCGCAGTCACACTCTTGATCAGTGGCACTCACACGGAATGCGTCTTCAAAAACATGAATGACAAGATTACACTTGTTACAGGCCAATTTCCACTTGGGAGCAGATGTAGCATCAAGAACAAGGCTTCCACTGTCACATTCTGTGCAATCGGCAATTCCAAGATTGGCCTCAGAATGGGCACATGTCGGGTGTGTACATTGATTACAGCCCATGCCTTTCCTCATATCAGGAAAGGGTGGATGATTGTAACAGTAAGGACAAACTGGAGTACTCTTTCCTTTACCCCCAGTGGACCATACCACCAACTCAAACTCATCCAAGGGACATCTAAGTTCTTTAAAAAGTTTGATGCTACCATTTTGAGGAAGACTGTAAGTCTCGTCACACTGAGCGCAGTGTAGCCGAGTTGGCTTGGCATTGATTAACTTCATGTACCGGTTGCATTTGCCGCATCTGGACAGAGGTTTCCCTGTATCTTTCAGTGGAGTGAAGGAAACTTCAAAGAGCTCATCCATGCTGGTCACAGTTTGCACAAAGTAAACAAACTTTCTAGTGAAGATGCTCAGAGCATGCTGCAAAACAGAGTCAAAGTCCACCTTACCCTGCGCAATTAGGTTCAGCTGTTGCTCAACGGCTGAGCGCATTGTTGGAAGAACAAGTTGAGAATCAATTTTCTGGTAACCATGTACCAGTACAATTCCCAAAGGGGTGGGCTGAAGACGTCTACCGCTCAACACACGAACATAGTTCCTCTCACAAACATTGTTGATATGAACAGGAATGCTTGCATCCGTGCCAATCCCATGTTTCTCCATCAATGAAATCAGCTCACTCTCCGTAAGGTAATCAGGAGGAGATGTCAGACGTTCCTCAAGCTTCACTTCTACAATTTCATACACATCATCTTTGTGACACTGTGGCATGCGCTCATCACTGGAAATGGCTTGCCAATGCATGACGGAAGTGAAGCCAGGGCTGGTCACAGTCTTCCCACTGAATGAAAAAGTTTCAAGATCAACAGCAAATTTCACGGTTGTTTGTAAATATTTGCAGTCATAGCTGATGCTGGC